ACAAACATTCTAAAAGTACAAAAAATTAAAAAAAAAAAAAAAGTGAGAAACACTTAAAAAAAAGAGACAAAGTGTCAATCAAAATCTATGTGTGTCACTAAAAAAGGTTATAGAAATTGAAAAAAGTAATAAATAATAATAAAAAAAAAAGTGATAGAAATTTCGAAATAGTGACAAAAACATGTGACAAACGCTAAAAAAAATGACAAAATATCAATTAAAATATTAAAATATATCATTTTATACAAACACAACCGCTCCACCATCACCACCACAGTCATTATATTACACACAGAAGTCACTTGTCCAACCAATGCTTTTAAATTGTCTTGGAAATCCTAGGTGTGCTCATTACCACAAAGGATTCTATCATACCTTGAATATTTCAACGAATAGTGTGCTATAGTCATTGTCAAAGTTAATATTAGGCACAATCAAAATGATTCAAAAAAGTAATATAACACCAATTAAAACATTGAAATCAGTTTAATTAAGTGATAGAAGTAAAAAATATAAATGCCACAACCACCGTCCCTTCTCTATCTTCGTTCACCACCAAGCATCTTAAATCAATTCACCGGCAAAATACCAATCAAAACGTCAAGCATCTTTAAGTCAATTCACCGCCACATCATCTACCAATTCAGCCAACCTATTAATCATATAAAATAAAATGTTGGAAGTAAAATGACATACAATGTCCTTGGTGTTACAAGAGATTATTTGTGAGTACCTACCATCGTTAGATTGCAAGTTTGCTCACATTTATGTTAATAGAACATAAGAATAAAATTTATGATGATATAGAACAAAGAAAAAGGCTGACTAACATAATCGGAAATGTCATTCTTCATCAACGTCGTTGCCACACCATTTGTTTCCTCTTGTCGAAAACAACTCTAAAAGACTTGTTCTCAGAATCACCATTGCTGCCACATCAAGAACTGGAACCAGAGCTAAATCTGGTTTTTCCTCAAGCCATCAAAAGTACAACATTGGACTGCGATAACTTGGGATCCTCTCGTCAGCTTCGGAGGCTCAAATAGTTGAACAAATGAAATACCAAACCCTCTAACCGATCATTGAGAGAATCTTGCCTCAAACAAAATTCAAAATAAAGAAGTACAGCATGTAGAATTGATACAAGTTCCCTATCGAGAAGTAGTACAATTGAACTAAAAACACGGGCATGCGCATCCTAAGTGATCCTCAATATTTTAGTAGTTGTTATTTACTTCTATTGCTCAACATAATGCATTACAAATCATGATGGCGGAGATTAGTAATGCAATCATGTATTGACAGTCATTGGCAAAGCAACCCATATTAGTGTTTCTTGGTGGAGCAACCAGCATAGAGGCAAGCTAACACACTCTGTACTTTCAAATATAAAGAACTTAGTTATCATTATGTATTGATATTATTTTCTTATCAAATAAAAGTGAAACCAAAGGAAAACACAAAATCAGTGTGCAGCTTTTATCCCTTAAGTGATGAATAAACTTGGAATTCACATTGTAAAGATAGAACACATCATGATTTCAAACGGCAAAAGTCAAGCAAATCAAAACCATCAAAGATAGATAGATATAAACAAGCCAAGTTATTTATGAACAAAGTAAATTCAACTTCATTTGTAGGTTTTTATGCTTGCCAGATTTCAACACATAGAAGGGAATGTCACCTATAATATAAACAATGATGTAGATCTGGAATAATTCTTGCCACCATATTTGCAAGAATGGGCAAAATCTAGCTATTCCACAAACAAAATCTTCAAGTATAACATTGATGAACAAGAACATCCCAAGCAAAACTAAAAATTTGGCTCCGGTTTCACTCAGCCGAACAAATTGACAATACAAGCAACTCGTATAAAGGAAACCAAAAATATCAATCTGAAAACAATTGAAACGAAAAAAAAAAAAACAAAACAAAAATAGTCAAGCAAACATGGAATTAAGACGAAAATGAAAAAAATTAAAAACAATATGGGGTATTGGTGACCTGACTTGGATCATTCAATTGAAAAGATGTAGAACATATTTGCAGTATATCTGCCAAAATTTTTTTTTTTCTCAGTATAGGACCTCCAGGTTCTCCATTGGCAATCATGAAAAGATCTCGTATTAATGTAATGGGAAGATCATCTAATGTCGCAAATAGGGTGCTCTTCGAGCTGTCAGACCAGAAAGTTTTATTTCTATCAGAACCAGAAATCTCTTTGAAAAATCGATGTTGGTTGGTCCGTCTGTGTTTTGGATGAATTTGAGAATAGGCTATTTAGACTCGACAATTTCGGTGTAAAGGTCTTTGACTTCAAGCAGCAGCTTCGAAGCACGAATAAACCTAAGTGTACAACATTTGTTGACAACAATGATTGACAACTATGTGTTGTCAAAATCCTAGTATGTGATGTAGAAAACAGTTTTTTAAAATGGATGGATATGATGATATCAAATAGGATGTTGTCAATCAATGTTGTCAATCAATATTGTACATATAACATGATCCCCGAAGCACCACCTTGTTCGGTGGCAGAGTTCAACAAGAAGTCAACGGCGATGGAAGCTCTGAGCTTTATGGACGGGGGCACCAGATAAAATGATGACGAGGGGTAGGTAGTGTAAATCATTTCGGAAAAAAATGTAAAAAATTAGATTTAGAAGATGAAAAATCAAATATGGATTGTCCGCATGTGTTTTGGATGAATTTAAGCGTATCAAGAGCGTAATTTATACGGTGATTAAAGACATAATTAGGTTTTAATTGTATTATTCTAATTAGTTTCCTTTTTAAAGTAGTGGGCCTAATTATACCATTGTAAATTGTGACTAATGGATGTAGTCAATAATATGTACAGAATAAGGGGAAATTACTTAAAACCTACATTTAAATTTAATGATTATTTTTTATAAAGAGGGGAGAATATTTTAAATTTCATATATCAAGTGGTAATTAGGTTTCAATAATTATAATTAACATACCCACCCACGACATTCATTGCAAACCTTAAAAATATTTTCTCTCCCCACTCACTC